AGCGGGCCGCCCGGCCCGGGGCGGAACGGGGAGTCCTGGTGCGGGCCGAGGGCTGGGCGCTGCCCTCGGCCTGGCCCGGGACTGCAGGCGTTACCGGCCTGCTTCAGTTCTGAGAGCGAAAAGCTCCGGCAAGGGGCAGGGGGAGCGGCGTTGCGGGGTGTGTGTGTGCTGCCGCCCGCTGTGGTGCTGTCAGTCCGCGGCCATTTTTCTTAGATCACCTCTGGAAGAAACCCAACAAGTGCTGGGCCCGGGCTGCGCCGCAGGCTGGTGCCGGCCGGCCGGCACGGAGGAGCCTTTCCCTCCCTGGGAGGCCTCGCTTCGGATCTCTAGACACCAGTTTTCATTAAAAAATAAAACAAGCCCACTCGTAGAAGCGTTATTGCCCTTGAGGTGCCTGTCCTCGCCCATGTGTTTGAAATTGATGGGTGCGAAGAGGCAGATGGCACAATGGCGTGTGCTGTGTTCCCTTTGGAAGCCAAGCCAAACGCTGGTGGGTGGGAATGAGCAGAAGATAGAAAGCATTAAACCTGGCAAGCTTTCTCTGCACTGGAGAAAGGTACTTAAGTAAGCTAACGACTATGGAAACCAGCAGTTTTGATAATAGGTTTGCGGAACCTTGTGTTAACCATTTGGCAGCAAAATGTAACCCCTGGGTTAGCAAGTCTGTGACTCCAACAAAAAACAGGATTAAGACCCAGAGGAAAAGATTTGCCAATTAACTTCTTGTCTTGGAGAATATTCCCATCACAAGCTTAGACAGTAGGGGAATTTAATCTTTACAGAAAGTGTAAATTGAACCTGTTTCCAAGCTGACTGAGGCCGGAACTTTTTGACCCACGCAAACACAACTAGCAAGCAATATTAAATAACGTATGTATGGTGCTGGGAGAAAAGTAAGATTTTAGAATTATACTAACAGACTACACAATACAAATAACCAGACACAGGGCCTGATCGTTACGTGTTACTTACAGTAAAATTGCATCATTTGTTTACTTTTCTATAAGAAATAATAATAATTAATTTTTGTTACAGATGATCTTCAATGCTGATGAGGCCCACAACATAGTTAAGGAGGTAGGTTTTAGCTAACAGTTGTATTTCAAAGAAATTCTTTACCTTACCTTGCACTATAGCAAAAGCATCCACCATCCCAGATAAATAATGCCTTCATGTGAGATTGAATTTATATCAGATAAAGACAGAGTTTAATTCAGAGCTACTTTAAGAGTCATCTAATTGCTGTCTTCAACTACATAAAGAAGAGAAGGTAGATGAGAGACGAGAGCACCAGAATTTGCATTACAGTGGGAAGACAAGGGGCAGCAGTCTCAAGTTGCAAGAGAAATTCACTCTGATTTTATTTTTTTTTCCTTTTATCCAGCTAGAGGGTAGTTAATCTGTAGAAAGGTTGCAGGGAGAGCTTGTGGAGTCTCCATCCTTAGAGATTTTTAACACTTGACTGGACAAGGCTTGAGCAATGTGCTCAAACTGGGAAGTTAGCCTTGATTGAGCAGGAGGTTGCACTACATGAGCTCATTATTCTAGCAATGCTTTTGAAAAACGTTTTTTACGCAAAGAGAGCAGGCTGAAAGTAAGTAACCTGATGGTCTAAATTAAATACCTCGTAACTGGAAAGGGATTAATGAAGAGCCTGTAGCATAGAGATGTTGTCAGGTTTTGCGGGGAAATACCATCTTGAGAAAGGAGTTCCTAGAGGGGCACTACAGGTTCTTTCCCACCTGAACTGCTGCAGTACACAACAGCAAGCTCTTGGATGTCAGATAAATGACAATTCAACCCTTTATGTAACTGTCCCTGCCTTGAAAGGCCAAATACGATATGACACAGTCTCCTGTCGCTGGGAGTAAAGCCAAGCATTTCTGCCTCTGATTGAAAGCTTAACCAGAGACGAGGAGCTCTAGCACTGGATACATTTCTGGAAGGACCAAAATTCCCGAGGGATCTTGTTCGTCTTTTGTCTTCTGTTTTGTGAATATTTGTTTCCACTGAGTCCTTTCTCCAGCTTTATACGCTGATCAGAGCTAACTGGGCTTTTTAAGATCTGGAGCACGAGTCTGTTACACAGTGTGTTAGTGGGTGGTTAGTGTGCAGGATTCATCTCACTGAATCAGAGGAGAACATGGTTTTATTTTACTTACCTTTTCCAGGTGTGCATTTCTTAACTGAATTTCTGAATTTTAGGAAGTATCTATCAGCACATAAATTCTGAGTTTCTTAGGAGAAGAGAACGCAGTTTAAGAGTTACAGTTAGAAGGCTTTCTGTTCAATCATTTTAAGTTTAAGCAAGGGTTGGCCAATCTGTAGCTGTGGGTGAACATGAAGTTTTCAAGCAGGTCAGATATTTCTTGTGCTGCAAGACCCTTGAGTATCTCTTACTCATACCTTCCTCATCGTTTAAGCTGGGGTATGCATTTCACTATTGTCGCTCTAGCTCTGAAGATTTTGGTATATTGCTCAAAGGCTCCGAAAGGCTGGCCAGCCCAAGCTGAAATTATTGATTTGAGTAGTACCATTTCCATTACAGTAGCTTCTGAAAGCCAAACTGGAGTAGGCAATCATTAGGAACAGTGAGATCTGTTAGTATCTTCACTGGTAAATAGATCCATTCACTTAACTTGATTGTTGAAGCATATTGCTAAGGTCTTTCCTGCAAGAAATGTTCAGTCAGAGCCTCATTTTTTGCCATGTAGTATTGTGGTAAATATGTACAAAAAATAAGTTTCCAAGAAGGCTGATTTTACTTCCCATTCAGGAACTGATACCTGATGAGCTCAAAGGATTTAAAGTAAACAAACTGCCAGATAAAATTCCTCAGATTATGCGAGACATTTTAAACCTCTACATTTTGAAGTATGTTTATTGTAACTATTTTTTTTTCCTCTATTTTAGTGCATAGAAAGTGTTTTAGGCAAGGCAGATTATAATCACAACAAAGTCAACCAGTGGACTGCTGCTATAGTAGAACAGTCGCTGACACATCTGGTCAAACTCGGAAAAACGTATAAGTACATCGGTAAGTACAAGCACTCATACTTTTACCACACCACATACTATCACAATAAATAACTGCTGAAAGGTTCATTTGAATGCAGTGCTATATTGAATAGAAAGTTTTAAACTGTAAACAAAGTAGAGCAGATACCTGAACTCTTCCATTATATAGATTTTTAGTAATACCTGTGGTAAAACCATGGCAGTTTCACCTGGGCTGATAAGCATGCTCGCAACACTTAGCATAGAAGATGGCATGTTACACAGTCTTTCCTGACTGTTAAGCAGATCCAAAACAATTATATCAACTTTTTGGTATTAGTTCAGGAAATAATTGCGTATCTTAAATAAAATTTTCAGTAGGATTAAGCTTCCTACAAACACAGAAATTTGAAAGACTTTAGTCCTGTATGCTAAGTTGTGTCCCATTATATTTATATGCATATCTGCGGAAGGAAAATGGAAATAAGTGGAAGTTTAACCCACTTCAGTCCTTTTGTAGAGTGTTGATGTAGTAGCAAGTGTTTGCACTCTGTTCTGTTTTGAAAGTCTTGCATTCAGCTTGTCATTGGTTTTATGACCATTGCATGTCAGTGCATAAACTGCTGCATGCATCAAATGCTGCTGCATGTTACTAGAGTGTGGTTTTGGACAGCAGTCAATCAGTGCTTTTGGGAAACAACTCTCATCAAGTATGACTTCTGCTGTACCTGTGAGGACCACACCTGCAATCCCATTGTGAGGTGCACGTGACACAAGCCATATCTAAGTAGTTTAAAAGATAAAAACCGTAATCCTATTAGCAAGCATTTTGTTAAACCCGTTGTCTTTATGCGAGTAAAAATAATCATGACATGAATACGAAGTTCTTAAGGAAAATGCTGGGGGTGAGGAGGTTGTCAAAAAAGGTTTTGACTTAGCTGAATACGACCTGCCAACCATTTGCAAATGTAATGCAGGCTTGAGTTCAGAAGTGCCGAATGACTCACCTCTTCTGCTTTAATAATAAATTCCTTGGGTTTATGACTGTCTCTTGCAGTAACCTGTGCAGTGATGCAGAGGAGTGGAGCTGGTCTTCACACAGCAAGCTCGTGCTTCTGGGATACCACAACTGATGGTAAGTTTCCTCACTCAAATTAAAAGTTTGTAGTAAAAGAAATGTTACTTACTGCTCAGTTGTGATAGTTCAGCTGAATATTTTCAAGAGTGATTGAGAAGCAGTAGCTTTCAGGATTAGATGCTTGTTTACAGTTCCAGCAGAAATATTTTGTTAACAGTCAGTGCCCACATTAAGAGCGATTGCTTTGTAAATTATGAGAAGCAGGAGTAGAAATGTTTTCATTCTGAAACAAGTCAGAACATGTCATCCTCATCAGTAATCATAGATCAGTTGAAGAGGCAGTAAAATGTTGCTTGCAGTAAATGCAGTTGGGTAGTCGTAAACATATCTGCCTGTCCACTGTAAGGGGACAGCGCTACTTTGGAGGAGAACAGAACTTGCTAAAATATAGAAATAATTTGACTAACGGTATGTGTTTCAATTGCTTAACTGTCAGCCAGACTTTGGATGTATTTTATTCCTTCTAAATTATTTCTCAGTGCATTTTTCCCAGATTCAGAGTATCGTGGGGAAACAAGATTAAAATATTCTTATGTCTGTCACAGGTCTGTTTAGGTCTGTTTAGAAGAGGGCACCAAGATTTAGCTTTAAAATAGAGATGGCATTAGAAAGTCAACCAAGGTTAAAGAAAAATAAATCATAAAATGAAGTTAAGTAAAGGAGTACAGTTTAAACTTCATATTTCCTTGGCTTGTAAGGCATTGATACAACAGAAGAGGAAAAATTACAGAAAGTAAATACACTAGAATGTATTTGATCCGGTCGTCTTTACTGATTTCTCATCTGGTTATCTTGCCAATTTCAGTATGATATTTTTAAGGATTTTTGCAAGCCCAGCTTTTAAAGAGAAACACTGAAATTGTGTTTTCCTGGAAACTGTCTTAAGCATACAAGGCTCATGTTCGGTAGTAAACAAGGTACAAGTTAATAAAAATGTTTTGAGGAGTGTAGTCTATAGCCAAGATGACATAATAGTACTTACCTTAAATCACAGCTGATTTGATATAATTTACACTGCGATAAAGTGAATGTAGTAAAGACACTGGAATTCTATTATTTTGTAATAATCTCTTCTAGGAACCTGCACAGTGAGATGGGAAAACCGAACAATGAACTGCATTGTCAATGTGTTTGCTGTTGCTATTATCCTGTAGCTGACTGGAAGATAAACACAAGCAACACCGAAGCCTTTAAAAACAAAAAATCATCCAAACACATGGCTAAATATTTCAAACCGTTATTTGTTTTTGTATGAGAAGCATACAGAAGTTCTCTACAGAGAGCATACAGTCTAAGCCAGTTCTCATAGATCAATTATCTGAAAGGTAGCAAAAAAATTTAAAATATATATGCATCTATCTAAAGAGAAAGTTTTAGTAATTTAAATATTCAGAAGTATGTTAATGAGAAGATGCCACAAAGATCAATACAATTTATATCAAAGCTAATATCAAAGATACCTTATGCAAGAGGATCAAAACACATCAAATCAAAGGAAAGGTCAAAGGGCAAGCAAGACCTCTCAGGATTATGATGCATTTGAGAATAAATTATGAACACAAGTCAGAGTGGATATACTGTAAACAATACTGGTGCTTCATGTTTGATTAAACAGAGCTAACTGTCACATTGAATGCTGGTGCTTGTGAAATTGCATGAGTATCAGATTTCGATCAAGCATGAACATTTACATTGAAATTAAATCCAGTTAAGCTTTTCCCCTGAAGGCAGAGGACGACTTTACTGGGACAAAGGTGAAATATACCTGGTACTAGCAGAATTCTAATTTATCTTCAGAATGAAGAACAGAATATTTGTTATTGATTCAGGGAAACATGCTGGGGATCAGACATGAGCCCTTCATTCATAGTTTATAAATCTGAAAACATTCTGAAGGTACTTAAATTTGATTTTATTCCATGACTGCGGAATTTGTGATGAGCACTTTATTGATTACTCATGCAGTAGTCAGGAGCTAGGGCAATAAGCCTGGACCCACATTACTCCAAGTAGGATTAAAGTGTTCGGAGGGAAGGCACACACATTTCTAGAGGCTCTTGTTAACTTTGAAAGCATTTAACTTAAAGCCACATATCTGTTCTTTATAGGAGTGTTTCCTACATTCCGTAAGTCTAGAATTGGATCTTAGTCCTATGAAATAATACAGTTAAGTTTTAAGCACTAAGAATTGCCCTCCTGTAAAGATTTATGTGAGTTCTTAACTTTGCTCATCTGATGAGTCTTAACTTGAACTATTCCATGTGGAAGAAAAGCATTGGCACACACGCAAGTACTTGTTGGATTGGGGCCTACATTTTTGTTGATTAATGCACAAATTATATGATAAAGAGATGTATCAATACCAAAAATGCCTAAATGATTGCTGCCACTAAGTGGCAGCTACATTAAGTTGTTTTCTTAGATGCTGCTTAAGGATATAATTTTTTCTTTATTACTGCATGTCTTTGGAAGAGACTGGTAACTACCTAACAGCTACTGTAAGGCTGTTTTGGATTTTAACAAATTAATATTAAAGCACTATTACACAGTGTTGTTTGGGTTTTTATTTTCAGATAACTGACTATTAGGCATGTAGCAAGTGTCCTGTACAAAGAACAAGCTAGAAACCATTTCATTGCCTAAATTGTGTATACATATAGCTAGTATGAGACTACTGAAGGAAAGCGTGTATGTGTAATTCACAATACTGTTCAAAATCTCGTGCTTTGCAGACAAATAGACTTCTGCTTTTACCTAAGTGCAGATAAAATTAATACTGTAATACTGCATTTGCCTAACAGGCAAGTGTAGCGTGAAGATGTGTATGTTGTACTGACCTTCAAATGTATTCAAATTTAACATTATTTGGGTTAGGACAGCTATTTCTGAACTAGGTGCCAGCATCCAAGAGCCGAGTTGTGGAACTGACAAAAATGCAGTAGTTTCACTGATATTTGGGATTGTGCAAAGTGAAAAAATAAGTGGGGTAGCAACTGGAAAAAGGTTTGGTATGATTGATACAGTTTAAAAAGTGGGTGAGTAAAAACAGTGGTGGCTGTTATCCCCCTTTAATGGGCATTCGGGTGCCGTGGTCAGAATAGCCACTTGTAATCTTACTTGGTATTTTTGCTTTACTTGAAAACAGGATGCACTGAGCAAGACTATCAGTTTAATGAGGCTTGGTGAAGGTTCTGCTGCAGAAGAAACCTAGAAAATACTGCTTAATTATAAGACTGCTTCATTTTTCTTTCTACCAAAAAGAAATAAAGTTTTGCCTTAGTTGTATTTTTGCCTTGTGTTCTTGATCAATATAAATGGGAACTGAAAAAAAAAAATATTCCTCTTACTTTCCTTCACTCGTATACAATAGTGAGAACTTGGGAAATTTACTGAAGTTGTGTATGCATTTTAGAAAGAAGACATCGTGAAAGGCTAGTTCCCAGACTTGGAAAAATTTCTTATACCTCTTGTCTACTCAGACTTCTTCCTCTTCCTGCTTGTCTTGGTGATGCAAGTTAAAGTTTTGTTAGTCCGTAAAGATTATTATGAAACTCTGGGAAAAGTATTTTCATTCCACATCATATCCTAGTGAATTTAACTTGTTTCCCATCTTTCTTTTCCCCATCTTCTGTGGGTACAAACAGCTCCTTGTATTTAATATAGCTCTCCAAACAAGTGCTGAACACCTTTAGTTGCTTTCCCAAGCAGTTTACTTTCAAGGATAAAACTATGAATTGCAGAACATGAAAACTCACAACATTTCAATAGTATTTTCTATCAATATAATGTTTTCTTACTTGTTGCAGTTGGGGGGATGAGTTATTGTTAACAATGGGAGTATTATTAATGGGACAGTAGAATTTGCATTAAGGTATAGCCCATACATGAGCTATGTGTTCTTACATATGATTTCATGACAAAAGACACCTGTTACTCTTCCCACGCAAACTTTGTTAATCTAAACAGTAAAGTGTGAAAGGGAAAGTAAGGGGACAGATCCGTTACTTCTTTTCATTGCCTACCAGATGTCTGTCAGTAACTTGTTACCTCTCTGATGATTGTCTTCCTGTTACACTCAACTTGATCTGTGAAACAAGTACAAATCTTGGTATGTTCAATTTAGAGTTGTGCAATCTAAAGTACTTGCCAGAAGCCACTGAGATCCCAGCTTGTTGCTAGCCTATTAAGAGTTGGACGTGAATGCCAGAGCACTGATACTTTAAATACACCATAAAAGACAGAACATTAACTACTGGTAGCCTATATGCATTAGTACAGTAGCTGTCATATAGAGAAAATAGGGCTTTGATCTAATACAGACAGCAGACCCTTCAAAGAGGAGTGTAGCAGATCCTGTAATGAACAATTCTTTTCTGATTATTGGGATGTGCCTTGCTGCCTCCTGTACAATCTGACCAGATCACTTTGTTCCTATTTAATTCTGAGAGGGATTTTTTAGCACGGTCACGGTGTGACACAAGCACGGAGCCAGACTGTAGCCCCCATCAAAATGCTGCGTGTGTGTCTGCAGGACATTCCCAACTGGAAGCCAGCACCGGTTTGTCTCTCGGGGAGTATCTGGGCTCAGATGTGGTCTGTAAATGCAGCAATAAACCCAGTTGCAAAGCGGCTCCAAAGCTATGTAGTCACGTTTATGTTGTGGTGTTGCATGTGAGCTGCGTTAGTCTGTTGGATCTTTGCCTGGTAAGGGGTCTGTGGACATTGGTTTGTAGGTGGAACGGTTTATCTTTTCCCCCTACAATGGAAGTAAGGCTGCAGCCAAACACAGCGTGTCCACTGAGGGAGATTTTCCTACTCTGATGGGTCTAAATCACTTATCAAGTAACAGGAGGCTTTAGCTCACGTTTTCCATCAAGCATCTGTTTCCAAACACAGGAAACATACTGTGACAGCAGTTTTATTTGTTACAGAAAAGTTTTCCAAAAAGGAACAGAGTAGTGCTAGAGTGACAAACACCCCTGTAACTCCCATCCAGCTGTCTGACCTAAAATGACTTGAAAAGGAGAATCAGGGTTACAGAAACTGTCACTGGTCATTATGGTTTGTGTCAGGCACGTACGGTTACCCTCTCATGCAAAGAAGTTACTGGGGCCACATAGCACAAGTGCTTGAAGGAAAAGAGACAGAATAGCAAGTTTTGTAGTGACACTAGGATTTTAAATAGATGGCTTTACCGCATCTGTCAGTTAATTACAGAGTTTGTAGTCCATGCTTACATAGCTTCACAGTGTAGAGAACACACAGAGTTAAGAATCAAAGGCATTAAAATCCCCCATCCACAGAGGAAGGTGGCAAGATGGACTAGCTGGCTCAGCTGCAAGAAACACAAACTTCTTTCTAGTCAGCAGGTTCTCCTCCTAATAGATCTATATTGCATAGAATTAGAATAATTTCTGAACAGCACCTCCTAAATCAGAAACATCATCATATATGCAAAAAAACCCATCATATCTGTAAACACCTCAGGAAGAAATTAAACATTCTCTGCTATCTGTTTTCATAGAGTTTACTGAAGTTTTTGAGGCAGCCTTTATTCAGTGCTTGTTCATCACCACCTGTGTAGAATTAGATGTTGGGGGAAAGGGGAATGAATGAAATTAAGTTCTTGTTTGACAAAAAGAAGGGTGATCTTTCTATATATAGCCTGTCACACACACATATATATATATTTATAAATATCTTCATGCCTTTCATTTATCCATTTCCCTAACAATTTTGTCATACATAGATAATTTTGTTCACTTAGAATTTTCTCTCTTGTTGCTTATTTCCACTTTAGCAACATCTAGGTATCAAAGCAAGGGCTCCGTCAGCATTTGTACAAACAAATATCCTGGCCAGAGATAATACAAATTAGCATTTAGATATTAGCCAGCAGAAGGCAGCATGCTAGGTAACAGCAAGGCTATGACTGCCTTTATTGGTACTCACAACACAGCTTGAGGCAGTCACGACTTTATCCAATCTCAGGCAATAACTTTAGAATCAGAATCATCTAGGTTGGGAGAGACCTTTAAGATCATCGAGTCCAACCACCAACCTAACACTGCCAAGTCCACCACTAAACCATGTCCCTAAGCACCACATCCACCCATCTTTTAAATACCTCCAGGGATGGTGACTCCACCACTTCCCTAGGCAGCCTGTTCCAGTGCTTGACAACCCTTTCAGTGATGAAATTTTTCCTAATATCCAATCTAATGCTCCCTTGGTGCAACTTGAAGCCATTTCCTCTTGTCCTATCACTTGTCACTTGGGAGACGAGACCAACCCCCACCTCGCTACAACCTCCTTTCAGGTAGCTGTAGATAGCGATAAGGTCTCCTGTCAGCCTCCTTTTCTCCAGGCTAAACTCCAGTTCCCTCAGCTGCTCCTCACAGGGCTTGTTCTCTACACCCTTCACCAGCTTCATTGCCCTTCTCTGGACACGCTCCAGCACCTCAATGTCTTTCTTGTAGCGAGGGGCCCAAGACTGAACACAGTACTCGAGGTGGGGCCTCACCAGTGCCGAGTACAGGGGTATGATCACTTGGGAAGTGATACTCCTGCTGGCTACACTATTCCTGATGCAGGCCAGGATGCTCTTGGCCTTCTTGGCCACCTGGGCACACTGCTGGCTCATATTCAGCTGGCTGTCCACCAACACCCCCAGGTCCTTTTCTGCCAGGCAGCTTTGGGGGCTCGTTTTCTGTACTGGCTGTTGAAAACTGGTCTGACCAAATCACACGAGCATCTGCTGCAGGGTTTCAAGGGATGTCATCTGTTAGTTTGAAATGTCTTCAAAAATGTGTAAGGATCTCACAGATCATTGCTATAATAGCTATATAGTGTTCATGCTCGAGTTGAACATTTTAGGAGATTAAACAAACTGTAACCACAGTTGTAGCTTGATGGTCTGCTACTGTTGTGAACAAATTATAGTTGCCCATTTCATGACTCTCATTATAGGTCCCCTGAATGACTGTTGGTGGGGAATAACTTTGCTTTGGAAGGGAAGAAACTGAGCAGTCTTCATTTAAGGTTTAGATCTGGATCAACTGAGCCTTAGGGGTCAGTGCTGAGATCTTCCAAGCTCATCTCCTCCTGCCGTTGCTTTGACCTCTCAGGCAAACTTATGCAGTTGCCTCAGGGTTTGGTGTTTTGTTTTTTGTTTGTTTTTTTTTTTTTTGGGTGTGTGCGCAAAATTTCGGCTTCATCGGCTCAGCCAGTGGCACATACGTGCTTTCCATCCAGTTTGGGCTCCGTAAGTCGCT